GGTTGCAGTGAGCTGAGATCACACCACTGTACTGCAGCCTGGACAACAGAGCAAGGCTCCATCTCAAAAAAAAAAAAAAAAATTAGCCAGGCATAGTGACCCATGCTTATAATCCCAGCTACTCAGGAGGCTGAGACAAGAGACTCGTGTGAACTCAGGAGATCACACCACTGCACTCCAGCCTAGGCGAGACTCCATCTCAAGAAAAAACAAAGGAAAGTGGGTGTAGACTGACCACCTATTATCCTTCCCTCTTCCAGCCCGTGCCCCTTCACACCAAGTCACTTGAAGTTCCTTAAGCAAAACACTTTCTGGCACTTTCAAGCCTAGACTACCCTTCCTCACCTAGGCCACCTGGAAAACTCATTCAGTCTTCATAATCCCGATCACCTTCCCTCTCAAGCTCCCCAACCCTACCTCACCCTGGTAAACTTGGTCTCTGCCCTCTTTGGTGCCATTGCTGAACCTTGCACTTATCTTTATAGCACTTAATATAACTTTTTACCATAATTTGATTATGAGCTTTCTTTAGAGCAGGAACTTAGTCCTGTTCATTATGGCCAAAGAGACTAGTCTGAAGCCTAGAACATTACAGATGTCCAAGGCTTGGTGAATGAAAGAATCAATGAATAAACCATGTCTGGCACTCTGCTACAAAAGGAATATGATAAAATCCATGCCCTCGAAAAGTTTACCATCGTTTGATGGGAAAAAGGATAAATATATAAAACGATAATTAAAGGTTTTTTGCTAGAGATACAAAGTTGATGACTGTTATAAGGAATACGCATTTTTATGTGTGAATAGGCCTGGTGCAGTGACTCCAGCATTTTGGGAGGCCAAGACGGGAGGACTGCTTGAGCCCAGAAGTTCAAGATCAGCCTGAGTAACATAGTAAGATTTTGTCCCTACAAAAACTGAAATTAAAAATTAAAAACATATATATGAATAAATTAGGATCTATGTGTCAGAATGTGAACTGACAGTATACAATTAAATAATAATACCAGGTACAGGGGCCCACACTTGTCATCTCAACACTTTGGAAAGCCGAGGCAGGTGGATCACTTGAGCCCATGAGTTTGAGACCAGCCTGGGTAACATGATGAAATCCTGTCTCTACGAAAAAAAAAAAAATTAGTAGTGCATGGCAGTGCATGCCATAGTCCCAGCTACTCAGGAAGCTGAGGTGGGAGGATCACTTGAGCCACGGAGGTTGAGGCTGCAGTAAGCCATGATCAGCCACTGCACTCCAGCCTGGCCAACAGAGTGAGACCCTGTTTCAAAAATAATAATAATAATAATAATAATAAACAATTAAATAAGAAGTATTCTCAGATACTCCTGGAAGTCCATGGTCTTCTATCAGAATATTTTTCACTTGAGTTGACAGCAATGACAAAAGCCAAAATTACAGAGTCCGCTAAGGAATATATGGTTCTCACTATCATGAATGCCTGGCACATAGTAAGTGTTCAATAAACTTTCATTGAATGAGTGATCTGATATTCCTAATCATAGAGAAAAGATGTCTGTACCCTATGGGGGCAGGTATATTAAGAGCTGGGGTCACTTAGAACATATCCTCCTCATAATGAAAACATAACAAGCTCCAGGCCCCAATATTTTCCCTATATTTAGTATCCAGTTGCCCAAAAAGGCTCTTCTTGCCCCTTTTTGGTAAAAGGAGTAGAAATGAGCTATGTGGTTATAAATCTCTCTCTGTATCTTGCCCATATGGTGATAACACATCACATTCATTCACCAACCTCTTTCTACACTCTCCCACCCTTGGTTCCCTGGCCACAGGTGTGGATTCACAAAGCTAAACTCGAACTTGGGACATGAGTTTTGACAACAGAGTTTAAAATATTGAGTATTAGGAGTACTGGATATCTGGTAAACCACTCTTTTCTGATTGCTGGGTCGGATAAAGAGAAACTGCAATCCAAAATCCAAGTGCCTGGATGGCTGCCAGAGGTAGGAATGGAAACTTTAATTAACAAACGAGCCCAGCCAACCAAACAAGAAGCTCAGCCCAAGACCCTTGGAATAAAGACCAATAAAGGGAAGAGTTCAGGGAGGGAGGCAGAATGGAAAGGAAGCCTTGAGAACCTTTGTCATCGCTCAGTAATTCACTCATTCATTCATTCATGCGCTAAGGGTTGTGGTAGACATAAAAAAGAAAAAGACACCATTTCTGCTGTTAAAGAACTTTGTCCATGGCCGGGCATGGTGGCTCACACCTGTAATCCCAGCACTTTGGGAGGCCGAGGCAGGGGATCACCTGAGGTTGGGAGTTCGAGAACAGCCTGACCAAGATGGAGAAATCCCGTCCCTACTAAAAATACAAAATTAGCTGGGTGTGGTGGCACATGCCTGTCATCCCAGCTGCTCGGGAGGCTGAGCAGAAGAATAGCTTGAACCTGGGAGGCGGAGGTTGCGGTGAGCCGACATCCAGCCTGGGCAACAAGAGTGAAACTCCGTCTAAAAAAAAAAAAAAAAATGCACAGAATCGCTATTCCACAAGAAAGGAAAAAGCCCTCAAAGAGATACATAAAAAGGACATTCATAGACAAAAGAAATATCATATTTAGGAGGCTACTAGACCGATTATAAAGCATACCCAGATTCCAAAAGTATCAGAACATTAGGAGAGGAAAAAAAAAAAAAATCGGGCCAGGTGCTGTGGCTCATGTCTGTAATCCCAGCACTTTGGGAGACTGAGGTGGATGGATCACCTGAGGTCAGGAGTTCAAGACCAGCCTGGCCAACATGGTGAAACACTGTCTCTACCAAAAATACAAAAATTAGCCGGGTGTGGTGGCGGGCGTCTGTAATCCCAGCTACTCAGGAGGCTGAGGCAGGAGAATCACTTGAACCCAGGAGGCGGAGGTTGCAGTGAGCCAAGATTGTGCCACTGCATTCCAGCCTGGACAACAAGAGCAAAACTCTGTCTCAAAAAAAAAAAGAAAAACAAAAACAAAAAGAAAATCATTGTTAATTCGTATCACATCTTGTTAAACAGACATCTTGCCATATCATCTGCCCCAGCTTCAAGGCCACTGGCATCTCCTGAAGTAATCACCACATGTTCCCATCACCCAAGAATAGAGAGAGCTAATGGTGACAATTAACCCATAGGGAGCACTGAAAGGAGCCAGGCTTTGCCTGCCCTCTCCTGTGCAGTCACCCAATTAATCCTTGTAACAGCCCTACAAGGTAGGTACTGTTATTATCTCCATTTTACAAGAAAACTGGAGCACAGGCCAGGCATGGTGGCTCACTCCTGTAATCCCACTACTTTGGGAGGCAGAGGCGGGTGGGTCACTTGAGGTCAGGAGTTCAAGACCAGCCTGGTCAACATGGGGAAACCCCATCTCTACTACAAGTACGAAAAATTAGCCAGGCATAGTGGTACATATCTGTAATCTCAGTTACTTCGAAGGCTAAGGCAGGATAATAGCTTGAACCCGAAAGGTTTAGGTTGCAGTTAGCTGAGATCGAGCCACTGCACTCAGGCCTGGGTGACAGAACGAGACTCCGTCAGGACAGACAACGGAAGGAAGGAAGGAAGGAAGGAAGGAAGGAAGGAAGGAAGGAAGGAAGGAAGGAAGGAAGGAAGGGAGGGAGGGAGGGAGGGAGGGAGGGAGGGAGGGAGGGAGGGAGACTGAAACACAGATAAGTGGCTTGGGAAGGAAGGAAGGAAGTGAGGGAGGGAGGGGACGGGAGGGGAGGACTGACTTGTCCAAGGTCACCTAGCCAGGATTTGAGTCCAGAATGTGAGTGCCCTTAGCCATTACACTGAATTGCCTCCCAGCTGAGAACTTTCAACAAATTTATCAGGACACACACAACTAGATGCCACAAGGCGGTTTTGAGCCAAGTTTCCCCTTTAAACACATGCATCAATTTCAAACTATATTTATACGATAAAAAAATGCTCACAGCTTTATCGATCTCATTTTTTAAATGGTATGGCTTTTCAGGACATATCTTTCACAATCGTTAAAGGGAAATTCGCTTTGTTAATATGAATAAAAAAAATCAAAAGCCTGTTTCACGAGTTGTCAGTGGCCCACGCTGCTCAGACTAGGGCTTGCAGGCATCACCCCTTAAAGATCATCTTGTGGCCTTGGGCAAATTGCTTAGCCTTCTTTGTTTCTCCAGCGGTAAACCAGATATAACAATAGTACCACCTCCTAAAGTGGTGAGGATTCGCTGATATTATCCACATACATTGTTATGCACAGTACCTGACACACAGCGAATGCCCAATAAATGTCTTTCACACTTTAGGTCCTGGGTTCTCTCATTTCCAGAGTGCAAGTCCTCCAGCAACCACAGAAACGCTTTCTAGAGTCGCTGCCCACTCCTTAAAAACATTTGTCCCTACTTCGCACAGAGCATAGTGATACCACAAACAGGCTTCCCTGGACCCCAGCCCTGGGGGAGGCTATGTCACCTCGCTCAGGCCCAGGAAGAGAGGGCCGGCTCTGGTCTCCCGCCCGGCAGCAGCACAAAACTTAACCAGGATTTCCCAGTTGGGTCAACTCTCGGATCACCGCGCCCAGTCTGGAGGGCTCGGCAGCAGACGGAATGAGGGCGCCGGCGCCAGGAAGTGGCGCTCACCCACCTGCCCAGCCCGAGGTGGGCACTCCTCCTTCACGGCATCCCCGGGGACCTCGTCCCTCCCCGGCGGAACGCCCCAGAGGACCGACCTAACAGTGCCAACAGGGTGGATTTCCCCCAAAATCCTCTAAAATACATTGCCACGATTTCGAAACGGGAGCCGAGGGAGACGCACCAAGTGCTTCCCGAGGCCAGGTAAAGCGCACCATCCCTGTCGCACGTGTTGAGCCCCAAACCGAAGTCCGTGTGGCGGCCCCCTCTGCCTCCCTGCTGGGAGCCTCAGAGCGTGTGCTCAGTATCCACGTGCGCGTCGGGCCCGCAGCCGCCCACGCGCCCCAGCTGAGCTGCAGCGCGCGCCTTCCACTCACCAGGTGAAGAGTTTGCCTTTTATCCTGCGCAGCAGGCTGTAGAACTCTCCCCCTGCTCCCTCCGCGAGGGGCTCTGGGGCGCCGGGGCTCGCCGGCGAGTCTGCCTCCATGGGCGCCCTTACGCGTCTCCGGCGCCCAAAACCCCCGAAGTGCTGGGTCCCGGAAGACGGGAGGCGGCGCCTGTGCGGTCGGCAGGGGCTCGGCTCTGGCCCTGCGCTCCCTCCCTCGCTTGCTCGCTCGCTCGCTCGCCTCCCTCTCGCTCCTCCGCCAGCGTCCCTCTCGCTCCTCCGCCCGGCTCCTTCAGCGACCAATCATGAACTGTCAAACCCTAAGGGCCAGACAATACATTTGCAGATTACAACCTGGCACCTCCAGGGTGGCAGGAGGAGAAAGGGCAATTTTTTTTTTCGTCTTGGCAGCTGAGCCTCATTGTTGAGCGACACCCAATGTGTCTTTCAGGTTTTTAGGGTTCCTTGTTTGAAATCACAAGATACGGTAACACTAGGTTATTGTAGGTGATTCCTAAGCTAAGAAGCGGTGAGTGAGCAGTGAGTTAGAAGCAGTGAGTGAGCCGGGACAGTGAGTGAGCTAACTGGTGAGTGAGCTAGCTGGAAGGACTGGCTGACCCCTCCTCCTCCCTCCCACTCTCCCTCCCTCTGGCTGATTTGCACAAGATCGCTTCATTAAAATAGCTGAAGGCTGGCCGGGCGCGTTGGAACGCCTGTAATTCCAGCGCTTTGGGAGGCCGAGGCGGGTGGATCACCTAAGGTCAGGAGTTCGAGACCAGCCTGGAAAACATGGTGAAACCCCGTCTCTACTAAAAATACAAAAATTAGCCGGGCGTGGTGACGGGTGCCTGTAGTCCCAGCCACTCGAGAGGCAGAGGCAGGAAAAACGCTTGAACCCGGGAGACGGAGGTTGTGAGCCGATATCGTGCCTTTGCACTCCAGCCTGGGCAACTGAGCGAGACGTCGTCTCAAAAAAAAAAAACAAACAAACAAAAAAAAAAACCTGAAGGCGCTTCAGGTCTCGTGTCGCTTTTCCCTGCAAAACATGGGTAAGATCCTAAAAAGATCTTGGAAACGTGCCTTTGTGGCGTGGATGGAGGCGTGTCTCCTTCCTCGCGGTGTGTTGGTTTTGTCTTTCAGTATTCAGTTGTCTCCGCCGTGCCAGGGAGGGAGACGGTGCCAAACCCCAGCGCTCGGCTGGGATGTCCTGCCCTGGCCACGCCTTCCGAGGCTTCCACGGGCCAAAGAGGGATTAAGAGACACTAAGCTGGGGTCGAAAACTTCCCGTCACTGACCCCCTGCTTCCGGAAAGGAGGAGATCCAGAAAACAAAAGAAAAGGTGTTGGGACCTTTTTTTTTTTTTCCTGGCCACCTGTTCTGGGGTTTGGGGTGAGACAAGATAAACGTATGTTCAAATAGGCTATGCAGACGAGCTGGCAATTCTGTAAAAGGAGTCTAAGAAAAAAGAATAGCTTTCGAAAATGAAATATGACTTCAGGAACCCCAAGTTTAGCAGCTGCAGGAACCTCAAAAAAACCTTTGAAACTAAGAACATGGTCATCCGTAGAGGACTAATTATTATAATACAAGCATATCATGAAACAAGAGGACATTAGAAGCACATTTAAGATCTCACTTTTGTAAAGTAAACAACTCATTTAACCCTGCATATTGACAACGTTGAATTCTACCTGAGCCCTGTGCTCCTAGAAAATAATGACAATTAAGAAACCTTACTACGCTGGGCGCGGTGGCCCACGCCTGTAATCCCAGTGCTTTGGGAGACCGAGGCGGGCGGATTACCTGAGGTCAGGAGTTCGAGACTAGCCTGGCCAACATGGCGAAATCCTGTCTCTACTAAAACTACAAAAATTAGCCAGGCGTTTTGGTATGCGCCTGTAATCCCAGCTACTTGGGAGGCTGAGGCAGGAGAACCGCTTGAACCCGGGAAGCAGAGGTTGCAGTGAGCCGAAATGGCGCCACTGCACTTAAGCCTGGGCAACAGAGTAAGACTGTCTCAAAGAAAGAAAGAAAGAAAGAAAGAGACAGAGGCCAGGCGCGGTGGCTCACGCCTGTAATCGCAGCACTTCGGAAGGCCGAGGCAGGTGGATCACCTGAGGTCGCGAGTTCAAGACCAGCCTGACCAACATGGAGAAACCCTGTCTCTACTAAAAATACAAAATTAGCCAGGGTGGTGGCGCATGCCTGTAATCCCAGCTACTCGGGAGGCTGAGGCAGGAGAATCGTTTGAACTTGGGAGGCGGAGGTTGCGGTGAGCTGAGATCGGGCCATTGCACTCCAGTCTGGGCAAAAAGAGCGAATCTCCGTCTCAAGAAGGAAGGGAAGGGAAGGGAAGGGAGGGGAGGGGAAGGGGAGGGAGGGAAGGGAGGGAAGGGAGGGGAGGGGAGGGAGGAGGGAAGGGAGGAGGAGGGAGGGGGAAGGGGGGGAGGGGGAGGGGGGAAGGAAAGGGACAGGCGAAAGAAGGAAAGAAAGAAAGAGAGAGAGAGAAAGAGAAAGAAGAAAATAAACCTCCCACCTTTTTTTTTTAATCAAAGATTTTGGTTGAATTTCTCTTCCTCATACCTCTGAACTTTCACCCACCCTGACCCTGAACCCAGGTAACCCCTCCTTAGTAGCCCCTCCTGAGAAGCTGGCCTCAGGGTGAAACATTCTATGATCTACTATCCAACGGAGCCACCTTTTCATTCCACTTCCCATGGGTAGAGAATAAACCCTTTCCTCCTACTGCAGAAACCCTTCCCTGTAGTCCCCACCCATCCCCATTTGCAATAATCCCTTCAAATAAAGTCTCTCCTTAACCAAATTTGATTTGTTTTTTATTTGCAATATATACAGTAGTCACCCCCTTACCTGAGGTTTTGATTTCCACAGTTTTAGTTACCACATCCAATTACCCTCTGAAAATAGATGACTGTAGTAAGATATTTTGAGAGAGAGACCACATTCACATAAGTTTTATTACAGTATATTGTTATAATTGTTCTATTTTATTATGAGTTGTTAATTTCTTACCGTGCCAATTTTATAAATTAAATTTTATTATAGGTACGTATAGGAAAAAAATATATACTGTATAGGGCTGAATACTATCTGCAGTTTCAGACATCCACCGGGGATCTTGAAACATAAGGGAGGACTACTATGTTTGATTATGTGAATATGAAGAAAAATATAAGATACACATCAACACAAGTAACTTTAAAAGAGGGTGCGGGGCCTGGTGCGGTAGTGCAGTAGCTCATGCCTGTAATCCCAGCACTTCAGGAGGCTAAGGCAGGAGGATTGTTTGAGCTCAGGAGTTTCAGACGAGCCTGGGCAACATGGTGAGACCGTCTAAAAAATTAAAAATAAAAAAAAAATCTCTGGCACATATAATAGAGTCCTCTTTTTTTTTTTTTTTTTTTTTTTTGACGGAGTCTCTCTGTCCTCAGGCTGGAATACAGTGGCCCCCATCTCGGCTCACTGCAACCTCCAACTCCCTGGTTCAAACGATTCTCCTGCCTCAGCCTCCCAAGTAGCTGGGACTACAGGCATGTGCCCATGCCCGGCTAATTATTGTATTTTTATTTAGAGACAGGGTTGGTTGTTGGCCAGGATGGTCTCGATCTCCTGACCTCATGATCCACTTGCTTGGCCTCCCAAACTGCCATGATTACAGGTGTGAGCCACCACGCCCCGCCAATAGAGTCCCTGTTATGTAAAATGTATGCTTTTGTATAAATACATAAGATTAAAAGATGGATTTAAACATTGTAGCAAGCTGAATAATGTCCCCCAAAATATCCAGGTCCTAATCCCTAGAACCTGTGAATGTTGCCTTGAGTAGCAAAATCGACTTTGCAGATGTGATTAAGTTACACACTGGGTGGCCAGGCACAGAGACTCATGCCTGTAATCCCAGCATTTTGGGAGGCCGAGGCAGGTGGATCACGAGATCAGGAGTTCAAGACCAGCCTGGCCAAGATGGTGAAACCCCGTCTTAAAAAAAAAAAAAATTAGCCAGGCGCAGTGGCAGGCGCCTGTGATCCCAACTACTCGGGAGGCTGAAGCAGGAGAATCACTTGAATTCGGAGGGCGGAGGTTGCAGTGAGCCGAGATGGTGCCACTGTACTCCAGCCTGGGCGACACAATGAGACTCTGTCTCAAAAAAAAGTAACACACCGTGAGATGGAGAGATTATCCTGTGGGCCATAATGTAATCATATTGTCATAGGAGGGAAACAGAGGCCGGGCGTGGAGGCTCACGCCTGTAATCCCAGCACTTTGGAAGGCCGAAGCGGGTGGATCACGAGGTCAGGAGTTCGAGATCAGCTTCGCCAACACGGCAAAACCCCATCTCTATAAAAATACAAAAATTACCCGGGCATGGTGATGCACGCCTGTAACCCCAGCTACTCAGAAGGCTGAGGCAGGAGAATTGCTTGAACCTAGGAGGCAGAGGTTGCAGTGAGCCAAGATCATGCCATTGCACTCCAGCCTGGGTAACATAGCAAGAGTCTGTCCTGAAAAAAAAATAGGAAGGAAACAGAAAGAAAAGAAAATGATATAATGGAAGCAGAGGTTGAAGTAATGCGCTTTGAAGACAGAGAAAGGCTAACACAATCCAAGAAATACACGCAGCCACCAGAAGCTCAGAGGCTCCAGAAGGAAGTAGCCCTGACAACTTTAGCCTTGACTATAGGCCTGTGAAACTGATTTCAGACTTCTGACCTCCAGAACTGTAAGAGAATAAATCTACATTGTTTTAAGCCACTAAACTGGTGATTTATTACGGTGGCCACAGGAAACAAATGCAAATGTATATACACTGATTTATAGAAATCAAGGTGCACTGTCAAGTGAAGAAAGCAAATTTTAGGGTAATTGTATAATATGATTCCATTTTAATAAAAGCTACCAACTAAATATCTTTATATATACATACATATATTAATACACGGATAGACATATATTTATATTTTCTGTGTTTATATGAGCAAGAAAAAGGATTTAGAAGAATACATAACAGGTTATTGATGATGGTTAAATCATGTGAGTGGTTGGGGATGGGGTCGGGGAACGAATAAGGGATTGAGAGATTG